ATAATTAACGGATACTACTAAAAATGAAATCCAATCAACAACCTTGCAACAGACAATGAGCCACACCTGCTGTGTGAGGATTAATAATGCCAAGCGGCTGCCTAAACCTTGGTAGGTGGAGTAGTGATGGACTCCGTGACCCACTGGTCGAAAGTCACCTGCATAAACAAATAATTCCTAGCTTCGGATACTACTAGACACTACAAAGAGGCGTCGTGGTTCAGTGAGACCGACTACAAACATTTACTTTTGAACAGACTTACAAACAGTATTGATTACAAGTTTAAATCGGTAAAAAGATGATTAAACTTTTTAAAATTCGCAAATAACAAATCCTGTTTTACATTGTAAATCAAATTTATCTTCGAGTATGAATGACACTACGATTACAAAGAATTTACCGTTGTTTGACTGATATGAAACCCTTAAATACATGGCTTAAAATCCCCGCCCGTCGCTGTATTACAATCAGTAAAATTCTTCATATACTCTAGTATACTTTTTGAGCAGAAGGATGGTTTCACAACAGAACTACATAGATTAAAGTCTACCCACAAAAAAAAATATAACTCAGCATTTATTTATCTGGCTACCACTTAAACTGGATATATAAACTACTATTTTTCGATAAATGATGTCCAACATTGAAGCTATGCATCTGACCAATTTTTCCCGTAGATTAAATGTGACTAAAATTACGTTGATAAGCATGAAAATCACTTTTCACCATACTGCGTTTATGTAAAAGTAATTAGTGCCAACGGAGCATGGTCACAATTGATAATAACTCACCTACGCTAGAACTGATGAATAGTAGAATGAATATTAGTAACCAAGAGTAAAGCTGTCTCATGATTACAGCATTTGTAAATACCCTGTGACCATAAAGAGGAAAATAGTATATTTATACTTCCACGAAGTACTTTTATCGAAACGGTTTTCAAATGGAAAAGAATTCTATTGATTAGTGTGTAACTGTGAGAAAAGAATGAGATAGAGGACGAGGAACGAAGATGAAACTAGAACTGAAAGATGCGCTTTTAAAACTCATGAAAATCTCTCACGAGTATTTGAAAGCTTTCTATAATCTGTTTTTGAAATTGTTCTGCATCTGATCCATAAGCATCGTGTACTCGTACTTTGTATGGTTGAGGACGTAAAATTCTTTACTTCCCACAACTTTTTCTGAAAAAAATTACATGCTGTGCTATTCACATAGGTTACAAACTATATTGATAATACTTCGGACCAGTTATTCCTTGTCTATACGGAATACCTGAATTTGACTAGCATAACCTAACACTACTTTCAGCCTTGAGTACATTTAGCTTAGCTTATCAATCAATTTCTAAATAATTAGTCAAACCACTACGGCCTATTGGTAGGCAACTTCACTACTCTTAGTATGATACATTTTATCTTGATGAGTCAATACGTAATATAATTATGTTTACACTATCTTATTTTATCATTTGATGTCACTTCACTCTTCGAAAGGGTTCAGCTAGTTGACACTGTCAGTTTCATATTGACTAAATTGCATAAAATGCAGTTGATATCAGAATGCTGACAAAGTATTTCAAATGACTAATCTTGTTATGAACCCATGTTGTGTACTTCTTTACGAAAAATCTGTGCAGTGCTTTTATTGTTTTTACAGTGGAAATGGAACCACATTCAATGGTTTTATTCCACAGTATCTAGCTAACAAGAGAATAAGATACCTTCGTTAAAAAGTGTATTGATCGAAAATCTATGTGGAATGGAGATTCGACCAGCTTTCATAGATGGATGCATATCATCATAAAAAGAGACTTCTTTCATTCTCGTTCCCCGTGAAACCAGAAAATCTGTACGTTACAATTAAGAAGAACTATAATCTCTCTGACAATATGGGTCCACAGAAAGATTTTGTGATGACCATCGAAATCAGAAAATCTCTTTTAAAAAATCTACCAATGTAGATCAACAGAAACTGCTTTCCGATTTGTATCTTACAGTATCACGGTCAATAAAGTCCTAGGACTGATCATAGTTCTTAAGGAAAATGTTTATGTTGCAACTGTGTGAATCCTTTATGACGCTCACTAGGCGATGACTGCCGCAGCAAAATAACGTGTTACTAGGAAGCTGTATGAACTCTTGAGGAAGTCTTTGATAACTCGGTATATAACTAGCTCATACCCCAAGGATCTCATCCATGGTACTTAAATGGTTTGCCACAAATACAGAAACCTAATTTTCAATGGATAGCTTTTACCTAGACCTGGTGATCGGGATTGCATGTCATATTGACTCACTGAGGTATGCTAATGAGAACATTTTGTTCCTTTAGGTCTTATTATATCAGAAAGCTCTGTTAGATACCGATGATACCGTACAGCAGTTACCATTATCACGTAAACTGTTGCATTATGATGGAGGTTTGAAGGTAAAGTAATGCTGCTGCATCCATGAAATGCTACATTAGTAGGATCTTCTCCATTCATGATCAGCACTCCATGATGATCTACCTTTCAACCCTCAAAAATAGCACAGTCATGTCTGCACTGGAGTCTTCTCGCGCCGGCAGCATAGATTTTCTGACTGAATTGAAAATAATCAAACTTTAATTCTTACCTTTCGAAAACACTGTTAACCAGACTCGAACAAATGTCGCTTGAGCTCTGTAGTCACGCAAAACTAATCCATTTTCTCTTCAAGATACTTCAGAAAGTCGAAGTAACTTCCAACAGCTCCGGCAACCAGAAATTGTCAACCGCCTTCACATATTTGTCACTATTCAAATCTTCTCTAGTTATGATCAACCTTCCACATTCTCGCCTTCTAAGCAGATCTACTAGATATCAGTTCGCAATCACCTGTGCACAGGTTGGTTGAGTGTTGTAGTGGGGACTAAAAGGGAGTGATGACGTCTGGGTTTTGCTTTTTTAATTTCTGTTTACAAACCCACTGACTACAGTTGGCATGAAGTGAAGGATAAACGAAATATAGAGGTAGGCCCACCAGAAAGACAGAATCAACTAAGAACTACACACACGTATCTGCATTGGTTCAAGTTGCTACACTTCACAGTAGTATATAAAGAACAGGTAGATAAAATAAGTGATATCAAAGTAAAAAGAGTTGTGTAAGGGAATAAGCAATTTGAAGATAAAGGTTAGTGCAAATATTCAAGCTTCACAAGACGTCAAAGAGTGAATATATTTGCGCCATTATGGTCAATTTTCAGCCATGTCACTAAGAGTCCTCAATCACTGATTCCTTTCGTCTCGGCAGCCCCAACCAGGTTGCCTACACCTCCCCACACGACTCGGTCCAGCAGCCACATGCCTTACCGACTAGTGCCAAGTCTTGGTCTGGCCACTCTGAACACTTCCAATCTAATCCAGCTTCCCGTGGCATAGCACGTTGAGAAAAGGAGTGGCTTGGCATGAGCATTAAACGTCCATGCCACCTCAGCTAATGAAGGTTGACAACCTCATGAATCGGCTTGCCTAGTACCCTTTGCCTGACCTCAACATTGCTCACACGGTGACTCTACCGAACGTGAGCGATGCTATGAAGACACCTGTGATCAAAACCCAGTCACCACTTCATGTCATCCACTTTTAAGACCCATGTCTCAGCCTTATAACAGGACAGGACGGACTGTAGCACAGTACACTCGTCCTTTGATACGTATTTGGATATGGTACCGGCCCTACACATGATGTAAGTCTACAAATCCTAAGCGGTCCTTCCGTATTCGAGATGAGATTTGGTCAGCAACTAGCCCGTTTGGGCTGATGCAACTCCCTAAGTGAAGTGGAGGACACATTCCACCACTTAACTCCCCATCACTACACCGGGAGTATTTACAGTAGACCAGTCCTTACATCTCACATGCGCAAAACACATGCCAAGCATACTCAGATTTCCGTTCAACGCTTTCAGGAGACTGCATTTTGCCAGCGTCTTCACGTAGCAGGACAATATCATCTGCGTACCCCAAGCCGACCATATTGCCCCTATAGGGAGTAGATCAATCCCTGTGAAGTCACACGTACCAAAGGTTATATTCATTAGTACATCTATAACGAAGTTAAACGGAAACAGTGACAGCGTGGAGACACCACTCGTTGTCATCAATCGTCCATAAGCTCTTGCACCGCTACGTGAATTCGAGTAGAGAGCTTTGATTAGCGTTATGTACTTTTTTGGTACTCCTTTCACAGTCAGACACCACCGCAACACCTCACGGCTGAAAGCGTAAAATGCCCCTTTCAGGTCAAGAAATATCCCCAGTTCCGGCCACTGGTTAGTAAATATGTCAGTATTACAGAACATGTCGGATAGTGGGAATGTAATCGATGCGCTCTCGTTTAATTCTGAAACCTGTCTTGTTTTCTCGAGCTCCAGTAGAGCGTCAATATTAGTCCAACTAATTAGTAATGGTTGCCGCAGGAAGACGTATATCCCTTTCCTGCAGAGTGGGATGATCAAAGAAGTAGGCCAGATAAGCCCCGCAACTCTTGCAGAATTTGAGAAGGCTGCAACTAACCTGAAATTAGGAAGTGCAGCAAGTTCATGTGGATTGGTGCCAGAGATAATCAACGACAGTGGTTAAGGATATTACTTACCTGAACTAGTGTTAGCTAGCGTAGAGAAACTAGATATGAATCACTGCCCTCTCCTCAGACTTAGTTCGCATCGCTAATTGTGTCTTCAAGAAAGAAATCCACCTATGATAATCACAGGGGAATCAGTCTGACGACTATGTACACTAAGATTAAAGACTACGATCACTAGACGCCCAAGTGATTATAGAGAGCAGCTAACCGAGAAAAGCAAGCTGATTTCAGTCCTTATCGTCGTATACAATACCCAGACAATAGTGACCTCGAAGTCCCTTTTAATCGGAGGAATAGCTAGAATTAGCATGCTGAAAACTTCTGGAAACTGCACGTAATAACTTCCTTACACCTTTTTCAACACTGCTGACATTAACTACAAAGAAATAAGCAATTTAATCACAATTTATTGCTAAAAAAATCACAGTAATTTGAAAACAACTTAGAAAGTATGAATAAGAAGAGTCTGTTAAAGAGAACACAGTGGTAAAATCGGTTTTGTTCGAATTCAAAGAATCTGTCTATCAACCGAAGTGTTTATTAGCAATCCGTTGGACTCGTTTGGCGAAGCTGGGTGAAGTTATCGGTTTCTCACGTTCAAAGAAAGGATTTAACGCTAACTAGGTAAAAACAAAAAATATTATTTAGTTTTATAACAGCTTATCTCACCTTGATGTACGCTTCATAAGTGTCTTGGAAAAAATATTTTATACGATTTTCATTTGATTCATCGTGAAGTAAAACGAAACGAAGTCCTAGATTCTATCGTGTTAAGGCAACTATGAAATATCAATCTATTTATACATTTCTGATGAAAATAAGTGACTGTGGGAATCCTACAAATGCCCAAAACATTTCCGTGACGTTATCGTAAATCATTAGGTGACAGATAATCGAAGCCTCTATGATTTCCATTCTGACACATATAACGCTGCTACATTTTTAACTCCTAAAAAATTTACACCGAGGTATTTACTAATTTTGACATTACTAACCAACAATCACACAAGAATGAGACAGAAAAGTTTAATACAAAAACAGAGATTCAGTGCTTAAAGCTGTACAGAATTAGCTTCTCTTCCATGTATTGGTTGAATATGAAAATCCCCTTAAAGTTTGAACAGTACAGAGTTAATAATCCTTGGAGCCCAGCTTATGTTCACTTTACGACCGGTTTCTACTGAAATATAGGTCTAGAAATTATTGTTAACCTTTATCCACTCATGATGGATGTTGCTCAAAATTCCAGAGCAAACTTGTCTAAGTGAACAGCCTATATAACTAGCCCATGACATGCAGTCAAACTGAAAGTAACATGTCTTTTGTAGGATAGCTGCGGTCACAGATATAAAGAACGGATTTGTTAAACACTACAGAACGCAATTGCTTCCAGATGATAATGATGGAAACCGAATGAACAACCAATTACTGTCTACGAAACAAATTATTGAGATGACAGGAGTCGACCACATTCTCGAAGTGAAAATGTCTAGTGGAACATTCGGCGTTAACAGCCCATCTCGTTAGAGTATGTTGCTAACTGTTTTTAAGAGCCTATTAAACAAATAAATCGGGTTTCACTCGATATTACAAACAAGTCTTAAATTAGTCCAAGTAAAAACGTTGATATATATCTCCCAAGTGGGAATTAGCCAGGATGAAGAGCAGACCACCTACTACAGTAACTTCTCGAGATTCAATGTACCAAGAAGCTATGGCACCACTACAGCGTCACTCCATGAGTTTATTTGCTTAGTATAGCACACAGTGACACATTACATACTGTATGATATTACAGACCATATACTGTCTGTAGCTAAATTTCGCGCTTAGTTCCAGAACTTCAACACTTCAAAAAACCTAGAAAAGGTGTTGAATGATATCTGTCGCACAAACTACATTTTGCTTCAATGAACAAAAACCCAGTAATTAATACCTATATTTATACTGAAATTAAAGAGTGACACCCAGTAGTGTGATTATGGGTCACTGCAAGCACCGTAGAAGCTAGGCTTTCCTGATAGACTACTTATCTTGATACGATCTGCTATACAGGTCAAAGTAAATGACCAGGGTTAGTTACAAGATCAAAGCGCTTTTCCGGCGTTCATAAACAATATGACCTTTGTTGTGTTAAACGCTTCAAAAACGTTGGTAGTTTTTTTTAATTCAAGCATTTCAGATAACGATTAGTTTTGTAAGTATTTTAAAGTTCGTAGCATACATAAGTTTTTTTCAACATTCTTCAAGTGAAATTTTAGCATTTTGTATTAAACTTTACTCGCTTTAATCGGTGCTACTCCAAAGTTCTGTTTTAGGCTCAAGTTTCTGATCTTAACTCCCATTTGTGCCGTAATAACATTTATCTCTTGTGGATGAAGAACTGCAATTCATTGGGCAGTATGACGACCAGTTATACAAATGAAAGTCCTCGACTCGTAAATGACACCCTGAAAAGTCTCATTAATTTCCTGCGTTTACGTTGTCAGAAACTTTTGTTTGAGGCTAAAGGACAGACGTAAAACCTCATTTATAAGTACTGGTTTTGCTTTCGAGATGTTTCCCTTGAAAACAGTTTCCTAGGTGCGAAATAACTACAGTTTTAGTTTTGGTGAGACCCATTTCAGTCATTCCTGGCGGTTCTTCACGGAACAGTAGTATCCAGATGCTTTCTGAGCTGTTCTAATGACGACAGTATAACTGTACAGGTATTAGAAAACCCCTAGTTTATATTACGCGCAAGGGTCAGGCATAGGTCTAACCGACAGAACTGAAATTACAATAACAACATATTCAAATAGGTAGAAGAGTCCCCTTTTCAGTTATACCACAAGAAACAAATTATATTTAAAAGTTTTCACTAGAACATGGTAGTACTTCACCACCACCCCTCAAATGTTACTGTCTTTTAATAACCACCATGACTGGATGAAATTTATTCGCTAACAATCCTGTCTAGAGAAATTTACTTATGAGATTACGAAAGTGACAAACGCTAAATATTTAGGCCGCATATACATCTAGGAAACACTTTCCTCCAAAACCTGATAATAAGAAGAGCCAACGTTTTTTTTTCATTTTCCCAACGTATGATCCTAGTTTAATCAGTCCATCTTCCCAGTCAGATCAGTAAGTCTATACGTTGTATAGTACTAACAGCTAGTAGTGCTTTGAAACGAATTCATTGGAAAGAATCAATACCATTACTACGATTTGTTCTTAGTAGCTTTTTAATGCACATACTAAAATCAGTTTTCCGAAGGAGTGCTTAGTCTGAATACACATTCGTGCACGCGGTCAACGATAAACTGTGAAAAATAGCTACTTTGTTTTCACCATGGGCCAGATGATGCTCAACAATTGAATTCGAGAAGTCAAGTGACGACTAAATACTCTTTCGCTGACGACTATGACAAAAGTATCTTCGGTAAATGTAACAACAATGACGAGTGTCTAGACAAGATGCTGAGGACGAGCAAGAAGTTATGCAGCAATTATAGTAAAGGGAACGACAATTAGACGAGCAGGACAACGACTCAACAAGTTTAGTACACATCAACTTCGCTCCAATAATTAAAGTAGGAATGAAACAAGATAGGATACATTTACATCCACTTAAACATTACTGCTTTGTGGTGAGGCGAAATAGATAAATGGACTGATAGCATATGTGAATCCAGATGTGTTGGTGATAGACTACTTACTACTTTCACTGCAATAACCATCTTCAAAATACATCCTAGTGAGGATTTGGAGGTGAAATGTATACTTTGAAAATAGCTGACATAAAGGCATAGAAAATTCAACATGCGACCACGAGTTTGCGTAACAATGAGCTAAAATAAGTAATTTTACTATACCCAAATGAATGATCATTTGTTTCGTCCTCGAGGACGAAAATGGGTAATAGAGTGAGAGGTGATATATTACTTCTCACTCCATTATCCAGTTTCTTCCTCATTCAGTGATTATAATTATGACTGACCTAGGCTGTACTCGCCTAAGGTGTTGACAACCTGTATATAGAGGATTTTTCACCTTACTTTAGAGGATCTAACTTTCCCCGAAAGTACACAACACATCGAAAAGAGTGGTCAATTCAGGATTTCTCATTATAGTGAGAATTACAATGTATAGATTGTAAACGGACATGAAAACTGTGTTTTGGTAAAGGATACTTCCTGGTGTTACGAATGCAGATACCATCCACTCATTAAACTTGTCTACAACTTTTAAATACGTATCTGCTTTAGTCCATAGGTGATCATCCACCATGTCCAATGCAGCATGTGCAACGAATTGGCTCAAATGCAGACAATCATCTATCTAGAAAATGAAAAAAAACAATATAAAGTCAGAAACCTTTCCGCCTGACGTTTTACTTGGTGAATTGTAATCTAAATCAAACAATGCTTCATCATGTGGTCCACATATAACAAAATAATACCGCCCAACCATTGGAAGCAGTTTGTAACGCATCAACACATTCACCGCTCCTTTCTCAATTTAAGGTTTGAACTTTCAACTTCATGTTGTAGAACTAGTGAACGATGACTCCTTGAGTTATACGTCTGTTTCATTGGAGTATGTTCTAGATTTGAAGTGGTCACAGCTGTCTTCCTGGTTTAGTAAAACCTTAAAGGACAAAGAAAATTGATAAATAATTAATCTGACCTCAAAGTAGTATTACTCCTACTGGTATGTGGTTGACGGAAATCTTCTAGAGTACAGTCCATCGTTACCATGAAGCTCCAGATGTGCATCTAACCGTCTTTTGAAGATATCAAGGAGTGGGGCTGTAACAACTACTGAAGGAAGGAAGTTCCACAGTTTACACCAACTGCAAACGAGTTAACATGGGTCTGTGTATGTGTTCTCTCATGCTGTACTCTTAGCAGGTGACCCCTAAGGCGGTGTTTCAGATTAGAGCTTAAGAAAGATCTGTTGGGATGAGGGGGGTTGTGAGCGATGTGGCACATAGTGATCATATCCCCTCTGATCATCCGGTATTGTACTGGATGTAGCCAACTGTGTGATCTAGGTAAGGTTTGTATCGTAACCTAGTCACCTCCCCCTCAGCTCTCTCCTGAACCCGTTCCAAGAGGGCTGTTCTTCGCCATGTGCGGGGACATCAAGAGAGAAATTGCCTCAGGATGAGAGCGAATGTGGAGTCCAACCACTGTATCGAACAGGGGAGTTAGATGCACTAAAGTTAACGAAAGAAAACCCAAGACTCTTTAGACCTCATTGGCTGCAAGGCGACAGTGGAGTGAAGCTCCTAGCGTGTCGTGTAATATAACTTCCAAGTTTCATTCCGTGTTATAGTGACAGATATTTATTTCACCCACAAAGTAATAACTGCCACTGCTTTGATATCCTTACCTTATGCTTCTCTGAACTAATAGTGAGCAGGTTTTCTGCAGTCTACTTTAGGGGTTTCCTAAGGTCCTCATAAAAGGCCGAGATTTCCGCTGACATATTCGTTTCCATCCAGATCTACATATAATCAGGATACAGAGAATTCAGGGTAGGTTATTGGTGAAAGCAAGAAACAGTAGTAGATCCAGGACAGAACCTTGAGGAACACCAACCTTTATCAGGAACCAGTAAGATGGATAGCAGCCATCTCCGATTGCAACCTCGTGTAAAAACGATCCATGAGCCAAATAAGTAGGTTTTTAGAATCAATGACCTGGGGTTCGACAAGACTCAACATTGGTGCTGGCCTTCGTGTTTCAACTGGAATCGCTAAGCTGAAGGCACCCGGCCAAGCATCCACGCCATTCGGCACGCTGTCGTGTTACGTTGCACTGCTCGTAATCGACCCTCGAATCAGTTAGTTGGAAAGAATCGGTATCTTGGCACGACCTCGCAAGCATACCATTCCTTCCGACTACGCTGTTGTTCTTTCTTGGTCTTGTGTTCGTGGTTATGTGACAAGTTCGAATAATTAGTGATTTGCCTCCGCGCCTGTCAAGCTCGTGCCAGGACAATTCCTAAAACCTCAGAGGAGTCAGGTAAACCAATGTGAGTGGGCTTTTCCTGCCCAACAGAGAGAGTCCAGCTATTCCGAACCATCAATAAGTCGCTGTTACATGACCTTCTGGTTTTTAAACCATGCTGACATTCGTTTAAGATCTAATTCTTAGATAAGTAATGGTGAAATAAGTCATTTATTACTCCTCTCATGACCTTTGCAACCGAAGAGACCTGGGAGATCGGTCTAAAGTTAGGGCAAGTAGACTGTTTCCACTTTTACGTACCGCAATGACAGCCACTCGCTTCCAATCAGAGGGGAACTTGCCTTCCAGAAAAGAGCATTTGAAGGTTTTCCGGTGGGGAACTTAGAATGCAGGCACACTGTCTGAGTGCTCTTGGGTGAATCTCATCAATTCCCGAAGACTTATTCGGATTCCAGTTTTTTAGCATTCTCCTAATCATGTGGGGTTCAAACTCTATGTAGCTTAAAGATAATACGCTGAGTAGCCTATATCTGTTCTATCTCGTTGAATACTTGGTTTCTGTCTGAAAGGGCTTGTTGAATGAGCAGCTACCACAGATTTTGTGGTAATTTCCTATCGTTGGTCAGCTGATGAATTTGAGTTACACCAGTAGTTTGTATGGCAGTGACCTTTGAAGTTTTTCTGATGGCATCTTAGATAATCGAAAGCTTCTTCTAGTCTTTCAACAACAATTTGCAGCACTTGGACCACTCAACCAATCCCTAGAAGAACAAAATCATTGCAGAGATCAACACTCAAATCGTTGCTCAAGATACCGTATTCTGATGTAAGATGTCCCTTTTTCCAGCTGTGACAATAAGAAGGGGATCAGGCTTTCATAATGAAGATGCAAAAGTCCTGTCACCACCTGTTGGCCATCCTTTGAACCCGTTCCACAGTGTGTGCTTCTTGATTGAAGGAAGGGCTAGCTGTCTGTGTATAGACTTCGTCTTACAAGAGTGGGATATAGTATCCTGAATATTTCTCCATCAAAGCAGTTAAAGGTCCTGTGGACTCACTACGTGACAAGTCATACCACAGCCCCAGGTATGTCACAGTTTACTGCTGTCTTAAAACCGTTTCTGATGACAAAGCCTTTCATTCCCTAGAGCAAGGCAATACTAACTTACCGAACGAGTAAGGGTTATCACCAAGATCAACATGAGGCCGGGCATTACCGCACAATGGTCCGAATTGCCACAACTCATATCAGTATATCAGGTAACAGGGCAACAAAATGGAAGATAAAAGAAGGAAAGCTGTGTCACAGGAATTAGGAAGTAGCACCAGGGAGGAAAGAGGGGCCGGAAACTGATGAGATTGAGCATAGCGGTCAGAATGAGGATAACGTGCGCTACTGATATCGATTTTGAGCCATATCACCTAGAGTCTGCAACCACTGGTTTCTGTTGTCCCACGGAAACCGACCGGCTACTCCGCTTCACTCTACACGGCCCACGCAAACACCCAAGGACTTCATGCACTGATGCCACGCCTTAGTTAGGCTGATCCGATTTCTTTTCCAGCCCCAACTCACTCCGGCCAACACTGCGATGAGGTAGGGGTGGTCGGGCATACGTAACGCATGTCCCAGATATCTTCGTAGATGAGGTTTCACAATCACATTAACCATCCTACCTCTCCTCCCTAAAACTGTATGCCTGACTTCTGCCCTACTCACGTGGCGATATCACGATACAGAGCCTACGCCATAAGAGCAACGGTGGCCGAACACCTTCAGACTCCTCACGTCCCCTTGTTTAACGGCTACGTTTCTCACCCATACAGTAGAACACTACGAACTGGAGCGCAGTAGACTCGACTTCTGATAGACAGTTGAATATCATGACTTCCTTAGACATGGGGTAGGCTGGTGAAAGTTAATCGAACCTTTTGTATCGGTGTAGAGATTTTGTCGCCCACAGACCTATCAGGACTAATCCGACTACCCATGTAAGTGAGATGGTCAACGCACACAACCGTCCGACTGCCTACTGTTGGACAGGCCACCACCGAAGACCAGTCCAGGGGAAACAATTTGCATTTCGGTAGTGAGAGGCGCATCTCAAATACTCTCGGCCTGTCATCCAATGTGTCCGGAAGGTACTGCATCTTTTCAGCATTCTCGCCTAACGGAACTGTCACCTGCTTATTCTAGGGTAGTGTGACTCTGGACCAATATGCATTACCCAACTTTCGCTACAGCTGACTTCCAGGCTCCAGCATGTAGAAAATTCGGTCGCCTCTGCCAAGTCAGTCCGCTGCACCATCCCATAATCATCACCGGGAGGTACTCTCTAAACCTTAATATCATCTATAAGTGGCAGGAATGATGACCTAAGCACGCGTGGTAAGTCATAGCAACAGAACAGGAGACATAAGACCCCAGCAGGGCGCTTCATGAACCCCACTAATAACGGGCCTGCCAACAAACAATAATGGATTCACTTTGACCTCTTGCTTCCTACGTTGCGGACTGTGCCTGCACCATCTGTGCGTGCTGACGTCTGCGCGTGAACTGCAAGGGCTTTCAAGACAGCCTAGGTGAGAACTGGTGCAGTGCACCGTCGTGGCAACGAAAATGCTGCCAGGCCCAAAATAAGTCAATAAACATTTAACACAGACAAACAATCTTCTGTGGTACGGCGAGTGAGAATCAATCAAGAATTTAAAGTTTTGAGTACACAGTCAGTGGAAAAACAGTCACTTCGCAGGGCAATCTTACTTTGAGCCAAACAGAACGCCGGGAAGATCAAAACATGCCACGTCGCTAACAGCCCAGTGTCTCACGATATCAGAAAGGAGCTTTAAGGACAAGTCTCAATCAAAACAGGGACTGACAATAAAAATTAAGTTAGGAAAGAGAGGCGAGTGACGGGATTACATTAAACAGCTGAGCGAAGATATTCAAAAAAATATCAACACTATCAAGCAGTACTCAGGAGGGATTTTCAGATCACTTATTCTGTTACGTCAATTATAAATCTTCAGGACACGTTGACCTAATACGTTTCAGATCGCTCGGTGATTTACGCACCACCGCACGATCCACCAAAGTTATAGCCATCTGAAAGATTGCGGCCATATCAATACCTAACATTCGTGCTTATTACAAACTGCAGATAAGACTTTACTAGAGTAACTGCGCAGGTTTTTCTGCCCATTCTATGTCCAGTTCGGTTAGGTATCATTCTTGCGCTAGCTGGTAGTATGGAAAGCTTCGGAGACATCAACAAACCCAGAAAGACAGGTTTGATCGACCTCCGTGTCATTTTGTCGAATCTCTTTCCGGAAAATTGTAATTGCACCAAATTCCACGGATATGAAAAGCATGAGCCATGAAAATTAGCACAGCAGGTTAAAGTTTTTCCTTCGAAAGTGAGGTTCACTAAATGCAAACATGGGTGGAAGAGTTGCAATCAGTGGAATTTCTGAGCTTCATATGAGGCTTCTTATATCCAAAAATTTTTTAGGCAAAGAAGGCAAACTGACAGTTTCTAAACTCTAAGTTTTAGGCGCTGACACTGAGTCCTTAATGAATATTTTCACCCCTCTGTTGGGTGTGGGAGATCTCTCTGCTTTC